TGGTTCCCAACCCTGAGTTCCTAGATGGACTACAAGTTCTGTAATTTGTGGCTAGCACTGCTTGTGGCAGAGGCTGCTGGGAGTTCAAGCACATCTGAGGACGCAAGGTTCTAGACCAGTAATTCCCCAAACTTGGGTCCCAAGATGTTCTTGGACTGCAACTCCCAGAAATCCAGACCGCTCACTCGTGGCAGAGGCTTCTGGGAGCTGTAATCTGAGCGCCTCTGCGGACCCCCCAGTGTTCGAGGGAAGGGAGAGAGATTTCCACTCAAGAACTGTCCTTTGATTCTGTTTCAGGCAAATCCTGAGGGACCACAACTGCCTCCAGACCCTCCTGCAGCACCTCAAGTCCCACAGCCTCACCATTGTCAGCAACGCCTGCGGCACCCTCTGGAACCTCTCCGCCCGCAGCCCCAAAGACCAGGAGCTGCTCTGGGACTTGGGGGCCGTCAGCATGCTCCGGAACCTGGTCCACTCCAAGCACAAGATGATCGCCATGGGGAGCGCCGCAGCTCTCCGGAACCTGCTGGCCAACCGGCCGCTCAAGTACAAAGATGCTACGGTGATCTCCCCAGGCTCCTGCACACCCTCCCTGTACATGAGGAAGCAGAAGGCACTGGAGGCCGAGCTGGACGCCAAGCACTTGGCCGAAACCTTCGACACAATAGAGAAGCAGACGCTCAAGAGCCAGGGGGCCAAGAAGCCCCTGAGGCACGTGGAAAACCTGGTCAAGGACTACGCTTCCGACTCGGGTTGCTTCGACGACGACGAGGTGCCCAATGTCGCTGGCGGCGCTGAGACCGGGAACGCCTCGGTCCTCTCCATGTTCCTCCACTCCTCCTTCCTTCAAGGCCAGGCTTTGCCCCGAGCCGCCGGCCCAAGGAGAGGGCCGGAGCCCGAGAAGGACGAGAGTGGGAAGCCACCGGAAGCCAAGAAGGTCCCCCCGCTCCTGTTGCCCGCGGACAACGATGTCTCCCTGGCGGCCGAGAAGCTGGCCAACAAGATTTCCACCGCGGTCGCCAAGATCGACAAGCTGGTGGAGGACATCTCCGTTCTCCACACCTCCTCGGACGACAGCTTCAGCCTCAGCTCCGAGGACCACGGACTGGACTGGCAGTACGGCTCGGAGGGGGTTCGGGAGGCCCGCGCGCAGTCCTGCTCCCCGTGCCGGCTCTCCGATGCCGGTGGGTTCGCCAAGCGGGAGGGCCTGAGCCGGGCTCACACCCTCTTGAGGCTGAAAACAGCCTACACCAGTTTGTCCAACGACAGCCTCAACAGCGGCAGCACCAGCGACGGCTACTGCCCGAAGGAGCACATGAGGCCCTGTCCCCGGACCACCTTCGTGGACTTCAAGGACGAGCTTCATCGCTACCAGAGGCGCCCCAGCCGCCTCGACCTGAAGAACATTCTGACCCACCGGCCGGAGAAGGGAGAGACGCCTGGAAGGAAGCCTCAAGATCACACCGGTGGGGTGGAGAAACCGGAACCTCTGGAGAAGGTCAAGAAGACCAGCGGCGACGTTGCCGAGAAGGAGGACGAACCGAAGAGTCAAGATCTGAAGAGGGAGCTGGACCCTGAGCCCGGCATCCACACCATTAAACTCTCCCCATCCTATCAGCATGTTCCTCTTGTGCAGAATACAGACAACGCCAACCCAGCCGCTGAGACGGTGGGCTTCTTAGGAGCCGGTTCTTATCCCCCAACGGCGTCGGCACCGACGACAGATCGTCTGAGCAAGATTCTTGAGAAGCTGCCACTCGCCACGGCCGGAGGAGGAGAACCGGAGCGCCTGCGGAAATACACGGCGGAGGATCCCCCGGCCTGTTTCTCTCGATGCAGCTCGCTCTCCTCGCTCTCCTTGGCCGACCACGTCTTGGATGGGCAGAGCCACAGCGAGAACGAGATGGACAGTGATTCTTCCTTGGAGATTATCGAGGTGGAAGAAGTGGAAGGTGGAGCGCCCAAGGAGGAGGAAGACAGGAGGGTGCCGATGGAGGTGGAGACTCTGCCAGCCGTCTCTCGCCCCATCACCATTCCTTTGTCCAAGAAGGAGAAAATGTTCCTTCGGGGAGCTTCGCCTTCCCGCCATGAAGACCTCACCCCTTCCAGCTCCTCGGAGAACTACATCCAGGAGACCCCCTTAGTGATGAGCCGCTGCAGTTCGGTCAGTTCCCTGGGCAGTTTTGAGAGCCCGTCCATCGCCAGCTCAATCCAGAGCGAGCCCTGCAGTGAGATGATCAGCGGGACTGTCAGCCCCAGCGAGTTGCCGGACAGCCCCGGGCAAACCATGCCCCCAAGCCGGAGCAAAACACCACTCTTCGAACCGAGCGGGCCGCCGGAGAAGGAGGCCAGCCAGTTCAACATCCAGTGGGAGAACAATGTCAAGAAATTCATGGAGATCGCGGACTTCAAGGAGCGCTTCCAGATGCCGCAGGACCTGGACTCCATGGTCTACTTCACCGTGGAGAAGCCCAACGAAAACTTTTCGTGTGCCTCCAGCTTGAGCGCCTTACCCCTCCACGAACACTACGTGCAGAAGGATGTGGAGCTGAAATTGATGCCCCCGTTTCCTGAGAGAAGCGGTCTGAGCTTCATGGCCCATGAGAAACGAGAGGAGGAGAGGATGGCGGAAAGCCAGAGGAAGCCGGAGAGGATCGAATTGACCTCCGATGAAGACCTTGAGATCTTGAAGGAGTGCATCAACTCAGCCATGCCTTCGCGCTTCCAGAAGGTCCATACGACTTTAGTCTCTAGCCTTTCGGGCCAGGGGTTGAATCCTCCATACAAGAAACAAAGGCACCTTCCTATCTACATGCTGGTGCCCGCCGGGTCCCACCTGGGTATCCCCAAGCATAGACGAGCAGTGGTTTCCAGACCAGCCAAGGACTACGCTGGCGATGAGGACTCCTTCACCGATTCAGCAGAAGGAACGCCGGTCAACTTCTCAAGCGCCACTTCCTTGAGTGACGAGACCCTTCAGTACCCGACGAAGGAGGAAGGGGAGTCGAGGCGTTGCTCGGGGAAGACCCGCAGGAGGGAAGCCGCGGGGCCAAGAGGAGGAGGAGGAGGGCTCAAGATGGAGGCTGTGATGCCCCGCGAGCGGGGCGGACGGATCACCTCCAGCCATTCCACGCCCACTAAGATGGTCTCCTCCTACAAGCACCGATCCGGGTCGAACAGCGCCAGCCCACTCCGGGTGGGAAGGGCTCAATCCGCTGAGGCCAAGCGTGGCCACGTTCCCCTCAAGAACCTGGAGCTGAACCTCACGAGGCAAGGCAGCTGGAGAGCTTGTTCGGAAGGAAGCCGTCCTAGGAAGGAGAGCCTTCCGGAGAACGGCAGCCACGACGCCGAACGGGTCTTCCGGTCGCTGTGCCACACCACGCCGACGGAGGAGGCTGTGTTTTGCTTCTACGAGGACTCGGACGGCCTCGGGGAGAGGAGTAGGAAGGACTCGCCCAAGAGAAAGGCCAGCGACCCTGGAAAAGGCTTGAAGAAAGAAGGTTGGGCGGCCAAGAAGGAGCTTCCGCTAAACGCCAAACCGACGCTTCCGGCTAAAATCAAGATGGCGCCCAAGCTACGCAGCAATCTCATTGCGGATGAGACGCCGCCCTGCTATTCTCTCAGCTCCTCCCTGAGTTCTTTAAGCGACCTGGAATTCTACACAGCCGAGGAGAGGGCACAGCTGTACGGAGGCCGGGCCAGCCGCCCGTCAGGGTTAAGCCGTAGGAACGAGTCGAGGGCCCCGCCGCCGAAAGCCAGAGACAGCTCTGCCAGTTCCCTCAGTTACAACTCGGATGACGACCGGACGCCGAAGGGTGCAGGCCCAGCTGTGCCCAGGAGGAGACGCCAGGCGACGAAACGGAGGTACGCCGAGAAAGATGGGAAGGGGCTAAAATTTAAGGAGTGGAAAGCCAAGGCGGTGCCGGATGACAGGGCTTCGGAAGCGGGTTCGGATCTGGACAGCGTGGAGTGGAAAGCCATCCAGGAAGGGGCGAACTCGATCGTCACGTGGCTGCACCAGGCCGCCTTGGCATTCGGCCGAGAGCCGTCGTCTGAATCCGACTCCATCCTCTCCTTCGTGTCTGGCCTCTCGGCAAGCTCCACTTTGCAGCTGTCCCTGGAAAGGTCGGAGAAGAAGAGAGAAAAGAAGGGTGCCATGGGGAAGAAGGAGCGGACGAAGGCTTTCCAAGACAGCAAGAAGGGGGTTGAAAGCGGGCCTGGCAGGAATAACAGACCAGAGAAGGTCCTCAGCCAGCAGAAGCCACCAACCAACCTACCGGTGGTCTTCCGCGGCCGAACCGTGATCTACATGCCCAGCGTAGCAAAAGAGTCACAGTCTAAAAGCCAAACATCAACCCCAAAGAAGGCAGGGACCGCCACGAAGCCGGACGCTGCCGCCAAGAATCCGAACCTGAACCAAGCGAGGTCACGCAGCCTCCATCGGCCCGGGAAGATCTCCGAACTGGCGGACCTCACCTTGCCCAAGAGGAGTGCAACACCGCCTGCCCGGATCACCAAAGCTCCGTCTTCTGGGTCGTCCAGAACCTCCACCCCATCCCAGCCCAACCAGAGGAAGCTGGTGTCTCCATCACAGCTGCCCCCCAGCCGGCAGGTGCCACCCGCTCGCGAAGCCAGCAAGCCGGGTGGCAACACCACCCCTCCCAGCCCGAACCCCAAACCAGTTCAGAAATCACCCTTGTCCAAGCAACACAAGACTCAGAAGTCCCCCGTCCGCATCCCCTTCATGCAGAAGCCTGCCAAGAAGACCTTGCTCATGAGGAACCCCATGCCCGTGCTGGAGGAGCAGGTGGGCAGAGGGAGCAGCGCGAAAAACCAGCCGAGGCCCAAGACCGGCGGGAGAGCCGTCCTCCCAACGAGCCGCCTGAACCTGGTCCGCATGCCTTCGGCCAGATCTGTCGGCGGCGACTCCGACCGCTCTGGCTTCTTGCGCCAACTGACCTTCATCAAGGAGTCGTCCAGCCTTCTCATGAGGCACCGGGCTGAGCTCTCCTCCTCTTCCTCAGAGCCCAGGCCCACGCTTTCTCAGGGGCCCTCACCTCAGAGAGGCCGGACCGGCCTGCCTGCGGTCTTCCTCTGCTCTTCGAGGTGCAAGGACCTCAAAGCCGACAAGCAGATGGATCCGGGCCCTCGGCCGTCCGTCTCCAAAGTGCCCAGCCCTGGTCCGAGAGCCCCAGTCGGCGGTAGACCCCCGAGACGAACCAGTTCGGAGAGCCCCTCCAGACTCCCCATCAAAACCAGCCACACTCCGCCGGAACCTTTCAAGCGCTATTCGTCCTCTCCTCAAATCAACATCATCAAGCGGGCAGCCAGCCCGGCTTCCTCGGCTCCTCCGTGTTGCCCCGAGTCATGCAGTGGCCGGAAGAAAAGCGAGGAGGCTTTGAAATTCCCGGCAGTTCCTCCTACGGAAGAGTCCGAGAAGCCGCTGGATGACCATCAGCAGCAAACGATGCTGAAGGGGACGTGGAAACGGATTCGGGACGAGGACATCCCACACATCCTAAAAAGCACCCTTCCCTCCACGGCTCTGCCGCTGGTGAGCATCTTGAAGGAGGAGGAAGACCAGCCGGTCCAAAGCGCCCTCGAACGGAAGACCAGTGATGCTGTGGTCCAAACGGAGGATTTCCCAACCACAAAGACCAACTCCAGCACATCTCCGACTCTGGAGAGGCCCGCCGTGCTGGCCAAAGTCTCGTTGGGCTGCGGGGCCGGGGACGCCGACGGCCGCAGTCCAGGCAAAGTCTCGGCTGTGCCCATTTCCTTTACTCACGAGGGGCCCGCCGCTCCCCTCGGGACTTTCCCACCCATCAGGCACAGCTCTCCAAGCCGGGCTGCCCGGGTGACCCCATTCAACTACACCCCAAGCCCCATGGTGGAAGCCGCACTCAGCGAGAAACAGACGGAAAAGGTCCACGTCTGACCCGCTCGCCCAGGTTGGCCTCCGGCGGCGAGCCACCTTCACTGCTGCACCTCGGTCCAAATATCAGAAGCTTGTGTCCATTTCGTGTTGTTGTTTTTTTCAATTATGTTCTTTCCACCTCCTCTTTTTATAATGAGCCACGGAGAAACCAGGGGGCTGTTTCTTAGCAACACAAGACTTGTTGGAGCAGTTTCTTATGAAACAGACAGAAGAGAACTCTGGTGGCTGATATTTACTCTCCTTCCTTCCTTCCTCTTATCCATCGTCAGTTCCTTCCTTCCTTCCTTTGCAAATGGCATTTTGGAACCTTTTTATCCCCACAGGGGCTGCGCTGAACACACATGGATCCAGAACCTTTTCAGATGCACAGCGTCAATCCCTCCGTGATGGTGCTACAAGCAACTCTTGAGGATCCTTCAGAATGAGGCAGGAGCCGCCCTCCAGGCCCACTTAAAACGCTTCCAACGGATGGGTAAGAAAACTAGAAGTCCGCAAGGCAGAATCCTTCTGTCGGCTTGGTCGACGTTACTTTTTCCAGACGGAGCCTCTTTTCACCAACAGAAGGGGTTGAGCGATTTCTTTGCTCCGTTCTTGCTTCCTATTGCTAGCCAAGGTGGGACATGAACTCCGTTTTTGATGTGGAAGCTTCTCCGGTCTTGTACCTGCGCTGTCTCCCTGACAGAGATGTGCTTGTGAGTGCAACACACAAACACACACATACACACGCACACACACACAAGTCCCCAGCTTCCGCCAAAGACCTGCTCTTATTTTCAGCAGCGGAAAAGGCAGCCAGTCCTTGATGCTTCAGACGATACATGTTGGGGCTCTTCCAGAAAAGTTCTACCCCACTTTCTCCGGGTTGATGCTGGTTGGAAAGGGAGCACATGAGAGGGACCACGATTCACATCCAAACTTCACTTTAGGAAGCCACTTCTTCCAACTGCCCTGCTCCCTTGAATCAAGAACTGCTCCTTGGTTTCAGTATCTGACTTTGGAGCGAAAGGCTGGGAGTTCGAATCCCCTGCTGGGCCTCCTTGACAGAGACGGGACTTGATGATCTATAGGGCCCCTTCCAGCAGTTATAAGATGATGATGATGAATAGCTGGGGAATTTAGGTGGACTGGAGTAGAACTCTGCAGTTTGAAGATTATTACTATATGGCATGTGAGAAGTTGACTTCCCTGGTGGCATGTCTCGTTTTGAGCGATATTCTTGTGTTTGTGTGAAAACGGAAAGGCGATCGGAAGCTTCTGGCGAAAGGAACCTGGTGAGAAGCCCCATCATTGGACTTTCCATGAACAAACCCCCGAGCGAAATAAACCATGCCTCCAGGAAGGACAAAAAGCACCACAGAAAATGTCACAGTTGTAACAGGAACAAGCAGGACGTTGTGCGGATGGTGGGTTAGAAGCATCAAATGCATCAGGGATTAATCAGGTATTTCACAGGCAGTGGATTCTTCTTCTGGAAGAGTCCTACACAAGGCTGTGTGGCGTTTGCTCAAAGGATCGTTTGGCTTTCCCCGGTGCCCCCACCTGCATCATGGGAATCAACCCTGTCAGTCAAAAAACCCATCTCAACTCTGGGTGACAACCCCCCCCCCATTTCTGGATGTCCAGTGTGTGCCGGGAATGGCCGGCTCCCGAAATCTCCATCAAACATGCTGGCTGTTCTCCTTCAGTGCCAACTAAACCCTTTTGGGGGAGGGCCAAAAAGGGAGAGCCCCCCCCCCAGCTGCGAGGATCGTCATGAGAGCGAGTGAAAGAAGCCAGAGACCTCGTTGTGGGAAGAGAAGAAACAAACAGAGCCTTAATTTCCACACTTTGGATGCATGGTTTCGGCTGCCAGTCTGGATGTGTTGACCCGAAGCGGAGAGGGCTTGCATTTGAGTAAATGAGTCTCTTCATCTCACTGTGTGGCACCCGGGAGATATAAAAACCAAGACATTTCTTGACTAATTTATTTGGGGGTAGGGGTGGGTGGGGTTTGGACTTTTTTTTTTGCTTGGAACAGAAAAGAGAGGGGGGCCCACCCCATCAGGGGTAAGGAAAAGTGGGGGGGGACCCTTCCAGCTGGAGAACCCCTGGTCTGTCAATAAAGGATGTTGTGTAGTTATTCCATTGTCTCCTACTTAAATGCATTTGGGCAGGGGGGCCGGAAAGACAGCAGGCAAGGGGTGTGTGTGTTTAAACAAGATGGACAACAAAATGATGCTGTGGATCCCTGTGAAATTCCGTCAACAAGGCCCGGTGCAATAGAATCCAGGGATGCTGGCCCATCTTTAGGTTTAAATCCCCCAAGTCTGAGTCCCTCTTTTTTAAAAAAGTAGTTTCCTGTAGTCAACCCCGAGAGTTTCCAGGGATTTGAACCCAGATCTCCTGAAGCCTGGCCTGACAATTTATCCCTGTTCCCGGCAGCCTCCGCCTGCATTCACACAGTGACCCTAAACGCCTGGAGGGCACATCCCGAGACCAGAGTCGGAACAGGGCGCCTTGTATCTTTCTTTCCCTTTAAAATCAACCCCAGGGTCTGTTTTTTCGGACCGGGGGCGGGTCTCCTCCCCCTGGCCGGCCCTGGCCGTGTCGCCCACCCACCCCAGAGGGCCGTCCGCCGGCCTGGATGGCTCGCTCACACGCTCTCCTCCCCGGCCTGGCCCGGAAGGGGTTAAGGGAGGCGGCCCAGCCCTTCCCGCATACCTGGGCAAAAGGGTTTCACCTGCGCTCCGCCTGGGAGGAACGGGAAGACCCGGAGGGGGAAAGCCGCCTCCGGCCGCCCTGGAGCCCCGCAGCT